GGCCCGCTGGTGCCAAGAACCATTGGGAACTGGTAAATAAACCCTGTGTGATTTGCTTCATGTTTGTCTCTGTCTCCCTTCTTGAAACTTGAATTATTGGCTCGGTCTTATTGAATTAAAGTGTCTCTCGACCCTCACGGTGGTATAGCTACGTATTGGGAGTTAGACCACCTGCGTTTATGTCTCCAGAGAAACTGGGACAACCCCCACTGGGGATCGAGCCCGCAACCCAGGCATGTGCCCTGACCAAGAATCCAACCAGTGACCCTTTGGTGCACAGGACAACGTTCAACTAACTGAGCCACCCCGGCCAGGGCAGGATGTTTAATTTTTAAAGAAACTGCCAAGCAGTTTTTAAAGTAGCTGTACTATTTGCATTCCTTCAAGCACTGCATGAGGCTTCTAGTTACTTCATATCATTTCCAATACTTGACATTATCAGGGTTTTTCGGTTTGTTTGTTTTTAGCTATTCTAATATAGTGGTATCTTACTGTGGTTTTAATATTTGTTTTCCATTATGACCAACGGTGTCATATGTTTGTTGGCCATTCATATCTTTTGTGAAATGTCTGCTCAAATCTTTTGCCCATTAAAAAAATTATGTTTTTGTCCTATGGAGTTGTGTTATTTTTTATTTTATTTTAAAAAATATATCTTTATTGATTTCAGAGAGAGGAAGGGAGAGGGAGAGAGAGAGATAGAAACATCAATGATGAGAGAGTCATTGATCGAGCCCGCAACCTGGGCATGTGCCCTGACTGGGAATCGAACCCCGATTGCCTAGGATCCTAGGTCAGCGCTCAACCGCTGAGCCACGCCGGGCGGGGCTGGAGTTGTGTTTTTAAAAATATATGTTTTTGTTGATTGTAGAGAGGGAGGAAGGAAGAGGGAGAGAGAGAAACATTGATCAACTCCTGAGCAGCTATCAAATCAGCAACCTTTTGCTGCATGGGTCGATGCTCAACCAACTGAGCCACAGCAGCCAGGGTTTATGGAGTTAATCCTCACCCCAGGATGTTTTTTCCATCACTTTTCAGAGAGAGTGGGAGAGAGGGAGGGAGAGAGAGTGAGAGACACATCAACGTGAGAGAGCCACATGGACTGGTTGCCTCTGGCACACAACGGGACCGGGGGCTGGGAGCGAACCCGCAACCCAGTGCATGCCCTTGACTGGGAATCGAACCCTGGACCCTTCAGTGCAGGGGCTGACACTCTAACAACTGAGCCACACCGGCCAGGGCAGGTTTATGGAATTTTAAGAGTTCTTTATACATCTGGATGGACGTAAGTCCTTTGTCAGATACATGCCTTGCAAATATTTTCTTCCAATCTGTGACTTGCTTTTGCATTTCACAGGCGCAGTTTTACACGTGTACGGATATCTGTCTCCTCCAGATAAGATCCACGAGGGTAGGGACTAAGTCTGCTGTTGCCTGACCCAATGCCAGGCAAATAGTAGTGCTTGATAATATGTTGTTGAGGAAATTCAGTGACTACAATCTGAAGTTCCTCTCCCTCTCTTTCCCTTAAACCCTCAGGGAGATCTGGCTTAAGGCTCTGAAACATGAAGTATCTCCTGGAACAATGCCAATGGGGGGTATCCATGACTCAAAACTCAAAATAGGTTCTGATAAGGTGCCTTGGGGGCCCCGTGCTCTCCCCATGAGACTCCAGGATCTCAGTAGAGGTCTGGCTGCAAGAGGGGCCTTGAAGCAGCATTTGCATAGAATCATACTCATGTTATTTAGTGTATGTTTATTAGCTGTATCTTGGAGATTGGGGCAGGGCTCTGGTCCCCGGCCCTTCCCGTCCGGCAGCCAGGAGTCTCCTTAGGCTTCAAGCCCCTGCTTGCCCCAAATGCGACCACCAGAGGGCGCAAGAGCGTGGGTCCCAGTCGGGTGAGGACGGACCGCTGCCGGGCGCGGCGCCGGGCCCTGGGGACGCTTCTCCAGTGTCCGCGGGAGAGCGCGGAGGTGACAGGCAGCTGGGCCGGCGGGCCCGCCCCACGGGAGGGGGCCGAGGAGAGGCCGGGACGCGCGGCTGCTCAACACTCGGCACCTCGTGAGCGTGAAGCCGCATCACGCACCGCGGAGGAGAGAATCACGCAGAGCGAGAGCTGCTCACTGGCACTTTTAGAGATACTGTTTCCAGAACCTTTACATTTTTTTATTTATCGATTCTGAGAAGGAGGGGGAGAGGTTTGTTGCTCCACATCTATGCATCACTGGCGATTCCTGTGCGCCCACAACCTGGGCGAGTCGCGGGGACGCTCCAACGGAGCCCGGGTCGGGCCAGGAGCGCTCGGCATTCCTTCAGCTCCCTCGGGAAGAAGCCGGCGGCTGGTGCGGACAAGGCAGCTGAGGCTCGGGGGCGGGCGGCGCCTCCGCTCCCCTGCCCGCCGGCCCGTGGCC